GGCACGTTTGTGAGCTGCAAAAGATCAGGGCAATATCATCAGCCTACTCTAAGTCAAGAAGTCGTTCTCCTGGGAGTAGATCCACACCTTCTAAGTCGTGTCCTGTGAACGCGATTTCCATGACTTCGTCAACAGCGAAGTTGAAGAGGAAAGGTGACAGCGGGCATTCTTGTTTCACACCGCTGGAGATACTAAAGAGCGACGACAACTTGCCGTAAGCCCTCACTCTGCCCGAGCTACGCACATATAATGCTCGGATAATATTCACATATTTCTCAGGGATACCTTTCTTGAGCAGACAATTCCAAAGGGCACATCGATCAACCGAATCGAATGCACCTTGGATATCGGGGAACACGACAACGGTGGGCGGCCAATATGTGTGACGGTGCTCCAACAACTGACGCAAAGTGAAGATGTGGTCAATGCAGCCACGACCTCGACGAAATCCAGCTTGCTCTTCACGAATCTGGCTTCCACGAGTTCCAGTCAGTCTGTGAAGGATGACAGAAGCAAGCAATTTGGAGGCGATGGAGAGCAGACTGATTCCTCTATGGTTGCCGCATTCCAAACGCGAGTTTCCTTTGAAAATTGGGACTATGATGGAGCGGCTCCAATCGGTTGGGACAGTTTCCTGCCCCCACAGTTTCACTAGTAACTCGTGTAAATCATCCACAAGAGCAGGTCCCCCGAATTTGAAGAGGGCTGGAGGAAGGTCATCAGGTCCCGCGGCTTTATTTAACTTCAACAGTTCGATTCACGTTCGACTTCTGAGCGAGAGGGTGGATCCAAAGGAACAGCCCACGGAGCAGGGCGATCACTGGTCGGCAAGAAAATCTAACAATTCCGACCGATTAAATTGCCTTTCAAAGTGCTCAGCCCAACGCTCTAAGCGTTTTGATAAGTTGTAGATAGGCTGTTCACTCTCGTCACGTATAGTTTCACTAACACCAGGTCTCTTGCTGCCCGTTTCCCGTATCAGACGGAATAACATACGATGGTTACCAAGGGCAGCGGACATTTCTATTTCTGTTGCACGATGAGACCACCAGAATTCGCGGTCTCTCTTCAGGCTAGCACGGAGTTTCGCCTGGAGCTCTTTGCGAGTTTCATTGTGTTCGCTTCCAGCCGGAATATGCCGATGAGCATCGATAAGTTCCAGAGACTGCGAAGAGACCCAATGTCCATGTTGGCGATTAGACATACCACATGAGGATTTGCCTGCTGCTAGTAAGGCCTGGTGAATATGAGACCAGTGAGCTTCAATTGCATCCAGTGAGCGTTTATCCAACTCGGATGACAGCGTAATTTGATAGGCATTCAGAACAGCTGGCTTCGCCAGTCTGCCGGTGTCAATGCGCTCACAACATCGTCGCGGGCGTCCGCCAAAGCGCATCCGCAGGTCAGCACATACAAGTGCATGATCGGTGTCAACACATGTGCTCCAAATCGAGCGACAGTGATGGACGCAGCCTCTCCATCGGTAACTTATCGCAATGTGATCGATCTGCGTCCATAGCTGGTTCGAGGCTGGTGGGCGCCAAGTCACCCTCCGGCGGGTGCTGTGTCAGAAGTTAGTGCTCGCAAGAAATAAGCGAGCATCCTCACACAAATGAAGTAACCGCTCACCGTTATCATTACGGTAGCCTATACCATGTTGGCCGCCCAGATGCAGCTCATTTGTGGATAATTTTCCAACTTGAGCGTTCAGATCACCGGCCAGCACTACAGTGTCCGTGCTTCTTCTGTGGCGAAGGAGTTCGTTCAGTTGGCGATAGAAGTCGGTGTTTGCGGCTAGTCAGTTGTAAGAGAAGTGCAGAGAACGATACCAGCCTTTGTATTCGCTTTTTGTTGATTGCACCAAGGTATTTGACACGGTGGACCGCGAGGTATTGTGGCTGGTGTTGGGTAAGTTTGGTTGTCCGCGTAAGTTTGTAAGTGTAATTGAATGTCTGCACAGTGGTATGCGCGTGAGGGTGCAGCTGAGTGGAGAGACCTCGGATGACTTTGCAGTTGTCTGCTGTGAAGCAAGGCTGTGTCTTAGCTCCTACCCTGTTTAATAGTTATCTTCATGCAATGATGTCTTGTGCTTTTGATGCGGCTTGTGCTTACGGTGTTCGGGTGAAGCACCGTATTGATGGTGGGTTGCTGAACATCCGTCGTTTCGGTGCGAGAACCCTAGTCTGTGAGACAACTATCTGTATGTTGCTGTTTGCTAACGACTGTGCATTGTTTGCACACAGCACGGATGAGTCGCAGCACATGACTAGTGCTCTAGCTTCGACAGCGGCAAAATTCGGGCTCACCATCAACACAAACAAAACTGTCTATTCAGTCTTCAACAGAGGTGCAATCTACAATGGTGCCGCGAATCAGCATTGGTGCCGATGTATTGGAAACCACCTCCCGCTTCTGATATCTTGAGAGTCTGATGTCGACTGACCAGTAGCTACACAGTGAGCTGCGTATCCGGGTCTCGAAGGCAGCGGCGGCATTCGGGAAGCTAGAGTACCGAGCGTGGAACAACCATCAGCTTACCATTGGCATGAAGCTGATGATGTACAAAGCCATGGTGCAGTCCGTTCTTCCATACGGCAGTGAAACGTGGACGATGTACCGTCGGGATGTGCGATATCATAAGTGGCTCCATCAACAGTGCTTGCGACGGATTTTGGGCATCGGATGGGGCGATAGAGTTGCGGACACGGAAGTGTTCCACCGAAGTGGAATGTATGCAGTGCACCGCACACTTTCGCTGAGACACCTGAGGTGGCTCGGTCCTGCGAGCCGTATGGATTCGACGCGGATACCGAAACAACTATTATGTGGTCAGCTGAGTATTGGGAAGCGGCACGTGGGGAAACCAAAGTTACGTTACCATGACATGATCAAAGTGAGCCTCTCACGTTCTAATCTTGATTGCAGGTCATGGGAATCGAAAGCGGTTGATCGGCGTGCATGGCGCGATCTGGTCATAGAGGCAGTTGCCGAAGTGTAGGAGAAAGACCTCATGCATGTAGAGAAGAAGCGGCAAGCACCGATGGGTTGTACTCCATCGAGATCGAGCGCATGGTGCTGTAGCACATGCGGTCGCCAGTGCCTGAGTCAGGCAGGCCTAGTGAGCCATGAGCGAGACCACTTGAGACCACCACCGAAGTGACGACGGGTCCTGAACAGAACGTAGGCAGAACCGGCGCAGCTTTTTTAGGTACGTTGCATTCGAGTTACTAAACGCGTGCTTGCATGCTAAATCTCTTTATTTCAGGTGGTGGGTTTGCAATTTTGTCCAAATGCTTTTCTTGCTCATATTTATCTCTACCTGTGCTACCTTCTATAAACTTGCACACGTTGCTGAAGTTAATTGTAGTTAATTTCGATAACATTTTTGCGTTTGTGGCATTTGCTTAAAACATCTTCTCTGACCTCTTAAACTTATCGCGAATTTGTTCGTAATCAATTTGCTTATACGCCCATTTAGTGAAGAGCATCATCTAATTTAGTTTATTTCATCTTGTCGTTTCTAGTGATTGAGTGTTGCTTGATATTCCCGGTGTGGCTGTTCTTGATGTGCATGTTGACAAGGTGCCTCCTGTCTATTACCCACTATCTCCTCCATACTTGCTCCAGGAGACAGTTGGTCGTTGCTGGAGGGGACAGGGTGCACGGTCCTTGTAGCCGTGCGAGGATCAAAGAGTGGTTCCATGTACTCAGCGTGGAGCGGACTACGGTTCAGGCACCGCCTTGTGTGCGATTGATTCCCAAATACATCGTGACTGTTTTCCTGTAAAGGAGTGTGGGCCGAGTCTGCTGATTAAACGTGGCTCCCATCCACATGCCTCTCGGTCTTATTCCTTCGGGTTTACACTGGATATGAGGTGTATAGGTGGAACTGTGAGTGGTGCAGCGCAAGCAACGCATGGTCCTTCGATACTCTGAAAGTGACTGCGTTTCTCATGTGACGCTTCCATGTGCTGAGACCTCCGAGCATGTTTGGCCCTTTCATGCCGCTCGCACGTTACTCCGCGTGCCAACCGTGTAGAAAATATTGTTCACTCACATACAACGGAGAACATTATGATTCTGGTGCGGCTATCCTATCCTAAAGGTGCACGTGTCATATAAGCACTCCTCCTGAGGCGTAGTCATTTGTGCGGTCGATGTATGAAGCCCGTGTTGGTTATTGAGGCAGTGTCAATTGTTACGGTGGTCACTGGAAGGAAATTTGTTGTAGTTAATACTGTATGCATCTAGTTCCGGCTGTGTACTTTAATTTATCACCGATGGAAGCGCATCACTTTAGACCTTCCATGCGAGTTGGCGTCAATAGTACCGATGAAGTTGCTATGGTCGATAAGTAAAAGTGGTAGAAGAGGCAAGACGAGTAAAAAAGTACGTGGAAGAAATGATGGCGTGTTATCGGGTGAGTTAGAACACCGGAAAAAATAGATGTGCGCACCGAGGAGCTTACTAACAGTAAGACCAGCAAGATAATGTGTAGATAATCCTATGGATCCAGAAGGCGGCATTATCAACCGGGAAATCAAGGTGTATACCAAGTAAAAGATACAAGGGGCATGGCGGAACTAATGGAACATGACGTACGCAGTCACAAAGTAAGGTATGAAACCATAGAGTACTGAAAGCTGTCTAAGCGCATGGGTCATCAAATGGCAAATATTTTCCGAGCAAAATTTATGTGGATGGGGAGTGATGTGACGATTAAAGGGCAGCCAAGTTGTTACAATGAACCAGGATACGGGGCCCACAATCGAGATGACCGAGAAATACTTTGAATTAAATCGTAGCCTACAATGAGATAGCATGATAAAAACTGAACCTAACGCGCACACTCTAGGGCCCAGCACTGCACTGTTTTGATGGACCCTGATGAAAGTGATGGCAGCGCGGCGGCAGGAGTGTACGCACCACAAGATGGGACAGCAGCTAAATAAATAACGAAGTGATTCGAAGAGCCACGAGGTAACGTAGTGTAAGCTTACCTCATGAGGGATCGAAAACGGAGCCTGTGCTTGATATGGCCAGGCGTTGGAGCTCAGTATCATGATATTGAAATCGACTAAAAGGAAAAAGTAATCAGCAGAATAAGATTCGCAGTCTTGTTAAATCAACAAATGCAGCATTGATAAGCCATTTTTAAGCCAGAGAAAATCCTGAGAGTGAACAGAGAATTGTGCTAGGGACCGGCACATACTTAAGGGTGACTAATTAAAGAGACTGAAATGATCAAGCAGTCGGGACAAACCATTGTGACGAATCACGAGTTATGAATTGCGTAGTTCCTCGCATATGGACAGCTGCGAAACACATTATTCAATGTCTGTGTGGAGCATCCGCCATATACCAAGAGGAAAGTAGACAGATGTTCAACCTAATACACTGGCAAATGTAGGGTAGATTGTATAGGTGAATCATAACATTAACCATACTAACGTGCTGAACTCAAATCCGTTCAAACCCCGTCGATACCAGAGTGAATCGCTCATTGACAAGCTTAGACGAAAAAGGAGGTGGGGTACGCGAGACTGACAGCAGAAAAGGATGGTAAAAAGTGGAACGGCTTTTAGTCACCGACCTGGGCGATCGTGGAGTCACCGCTTATGAAGTCACCCCCCATTCAACAAATACCGCCGAAAACAGAAAAAGCAGACAGGATCGCAAGTAGCAGAGTGGGCGTAACAATGCAGTTACATGAGAGAGAGAGAGAAAGAGAGAAACATATCACGTCATAAAAGGGGAAATTGCTAAGCTTGGAGCCCAAGTGTGGCAGTGGATGGTTGTCTGGACAAAGCCGACCAATGGGTGATAGGCACGTCGAGGCTAATCAGGGTGGACGAGACGGAGAGAGGAATCAGGATCGGATCAAAGCAAACCTATGGCATGGACTGCGATGCATCGGATTGACTGGAATAGCCATGAGCAGACGAGGCGTGTGCGCTAAGGTAAGTGATAAAAGAGCTGATGTATTCCAGTATGACTCTAGGCGGACAAAGCAGACGTGGCAGAAGCCTAGTGAAGCAAGCAGAACCAACAGATCAATGAACACAGACAGAGCAAGGAAAACGCAAAAAACGGAAAATAAAAATGTGACGTCGCAACTAAAACGAGCTCCCACTTAAGTACACTATAAACGATGCCTTGGTTTTAGAGAGATTTGTAAAACAATCAGTCGGTTTATTTAGTTGGCAACGTTTTGCTTTGACACAAAAGCTTCGTCAGGCCAGGTCAAAAGCAAAACGTTGCAGACCAAATAAACCAACCGACTGTTCACAAATCTCTCTGAAACCATGACTTCGCGATTGGTTCCAAGTATTTGCCAAGAGTTCGAGAACGATTATACGCTTTACAGATAACAGATTTTGATCATTTCCAAACTTTGTTTTGACTCCTGAAGTGCTACATGACACCAGCAACCGAAAACGTGCTATTCATTGATAACATAAGCTAAAAAAAGATTTTTGGCGCCCATAGGTATATAAAAAACATGACGGGAAATCAGCACTCGACGGTAGTGGAATCTGCACTAAGGTTTGAGTAAAGTGAAAGAATGGAGCCCATTTGAAACTAATGGAAAACTAGCTTCGACGGTTTAACTCGAGCCGTGAGCCAAGTGGTTTGGTCTTTCCCGCAAGTGGCATCACTGGAAGACTATTTGGCAGTCATAAAACGTGGAGTGACATTGCTGTGTTCATTGTTCCTGACTGAAGTGTCGTAAAGCTGGACTAATGGAGCTAAATTGGTTCGACAAAGAATATGGCAGAATGGCTCGACAGCGGCGCAGACTGTGGGACCAATTCCTCCTCTCCGGCTCTTCGAACGAATAGAAAGCGCATAATAGGCAGTGAAATGTTCGCGACAGTGCAAAAGCAAGCAAGCAAGAGCAGTTCGCAGTCGCCCCAAAGACCACCCCGAAGAAACTCGTTGCTTTTACGAAGCGGCGCACTAAGCCGTCAGATGATCTACTGGTGCCAGATGGCTCAGACGGACAGCCCCTAACCTCCAGCATTGAGCGTGCGTCTGCGTTGATGGCGCACTTCACTTCCGTAGTCACCAATGACCAGATGTCTGTACTGAGCTCGACGTGTGACGCGCTTACCGAAATCGACAGTCTGGTTTTCGGTATAGAATATGTGCGTATACTGCTCGCCAACCTATAAGGGGAAACAAACCTGCTGGGCATGACGGACCCTACTTACCGATTCTCAAGTCTCTATAGGCCATTAGCTCATCGGCTGTGGCTGACTTGTTCAACAGTTCGAAATCTGAAGGTTCATTGCCGAACGATTGGAAATGCTCAGTAGTAAAGCAGATATTGAAAGGCGGGGACCCCAAAAAACTGGAGGATTACAGACCAATTCATCTGACACTTAATTTGGCCAAGGTTATCGAGAAGATAGTGAAAACGTTTACTACAGCTGCAGATGGAAATCGGGTGTTGCCCGCTCGAAAACACTGCACAATCACGACGTGCTTCGATGTCATTTTATCTCATCAGGTGCAGATAGCACGTATCGAACCCGCGACCATTGGAATAGTAGCCGAAACCGCTACCCTTTTGGCCGTGATCCGGTAGCCAAAAAAGTAAAGGTTTCGGCTACTATTCCAATGGTCGCGGGTTCGAGGCCTGCTATCTGCACCTGATGAGATGAAATGACATCGAAATGCGTCGTGGTTGTGCAGTGTTTTCGGGCGGGCAACACGCAATTTCCATCTTCTTCGGCTACGGTCCTAGTGATGGCAATGAGCAAGGTTCACTTCATATTGAGAGTGCGCGTCGCAATCCAGACACACAAGGTGTACTCTAAAACTGACCCTCCAATTTACTACCGCTGTTTCAATCAAAATATTCTGACTCTCGCACAGAACGGCTTCATGCTAGACTGCTCATGCATCACCAACTTGCTCGTGACCAGGTATGCATGTCTAAAGGCAGTGAACCGAGGGAAGTCTGTCGACGTGATCTATATTGACTTCCGTACAGCCCTCGATAAGGTAAGCCAAGAGGTCCACCTTCATAAGCTGAGTGTGCGGTGTTGGTGACTCAGTGCACCAGTGGATCAGGGAGTTTCTCGTTGGGCGAAAGTGGGGGGTACATGCTGACAGTCATCCAACACTGGTATTCCTCTACCAGTGGCGTGCCCAAGGCCCACTCTGTTACTAATCCACATTAACGATTTACCTCAGCTTCCTCAATTGCCGTTTGTCATGTTTGCGGAAGACGAAGAGTTGGAAAGTGTTTAGCACTCTGACGATTGCGCTTTACTTCAGGAAGACCTCAACTGCTTCTCCATATGGTATGCGAAAATTCGTCTCCAGGCTAAGCAAAGCAAATCGGTATTCATGGGCTTGGAGAAGGATGATAGTGGCCGAAGTTACACCCTTGAGGCCCAACGGCTACATCCGCCGCCTTCCGTGAGGTACACAGGTGTACTCTGGTGCTGCGAGTATAAGTCCGTGGACGACAGCTACATGCTATATGGTAACGAGCTGCGAATAATTTGGGTGATCGAACGCAGCTTCTGTAATTGGTCTGAAGAGGTCGCCACTCACCTCTTCTCTTTCATCATAAGACCAATGTTAGAGTAAGGCTCACCTGCTTGCTGACCGATCACCCGAAGCGAGGAACAGAAGATCGAACGGGTCCAACACGTCGCTATCAAGCTCATTGCAAGTTTGCAAGGATTACTGTACGAGAATAAGTGCAAAAAACAATGCATCTACAAGCTGTCCCATCGTTGAGTTGTACAGAGGACGCTACTTAACTTGTGGAGGTTATGCAGCACATACGGACACCGGTACGACTTTGCGGTGCTGGATATAAAACGACTACCCCATACCCTATGCTTCGAAAACAGATTAGCAAATGTTTGGAAGTCTGCCAGAATATATCGTGAAGGTCAATGCTGCGCAACAGTTCACAACTTTGCTGGATTTACATTTCACCACCATTCGATCCACGGATCGATTGCAGTGACGATATTTCACGTTTGCGAGTCCAGTACGCCGGTACGCAGTACGGACGCATCGCTGCCACGTAACCACCAGCAGTTGTACGTGAGCTAAGGATACTGCGAGGGTCGCTCGGTCCCCTACGCAGGCTAGAACTCGCGTTCTCGGATAACAAGGCAAGTTTGTGATCCTTAAGACTACGGGTCGAGTCCAGTGATACAGTAAGTCAGACATCTTTAAAACGCTACATAAGAACTTGAAGAACTACTAGGACGTCAACACGTAAAATATACTTCGTATAACATTTTTTGATCATATTGAGATGGAATAGCACAGATTTAAACTCTTACTTGCTCACGCAATACAGTAGTCAGGATATGTAAAAGCCGGACAGGTTGAAAAATTCCGTCACTAACTACGCAGCTAATGATCATGCGTAGCAGGTTGAAATTTACACGAAGCAAACTTCGGGCTTGAGATCGCGCATTAAAAAAGGTTCAGCGAACAGCTTTGGTGAGAAAGTCAGGGCTGGCGATGAAGAGTAGAATGATGACAAAAGTAAAAACGATTGACAACAGTAAAACATAGCATGAAATTGTCCAAACGGAGCAAAATGTCGGCAAACAATCGTGCCAAGGAAAGGAGTGGGGAGAAGTAGGAAGCGATGCTCCGAAAAAGCAATTCCATTATGGCCGTGTGTCAGCAGGAAAATTGCCTGCGTTCCGGTCGAGGCCGCCGCCACGGCCGCCGTAAACATAATCATCGGTTAACATGCAAACAATCAGCAACAGCAGCAGTAATCAGAATCCCAATAGTGGTCAACAAAGATACCATTTTCGACTGTTGAATCATCGCAAAGTTCACTCCCCCTTTCCAACAGAGTGCTCAAGTTCGAAGGTGCTTGCGCTAGTCAATTTGACTCGCAATTCACTAACCAGCAATGCCAATCGGAATTGCAAGCAGCTATCATTGACGAAGGAATGGGAGGTGGATGTGAATCAACTTCAATGCGATCTTCAAATGAGATTCGGCATCCCTCGCCCACCAGAACTGAGGTCTATAATGATGGTTACAAGAAAACTGATGGGGGCAAAATTATCTGCTTTGTTGATAAATTAGTTTGGGAATGTCCACGACACTCTGAAGCAGCATCTAAATCAACGTCTCAAGATTGGCCAAGAAGTTTGGTACGCAGTAGGAGTCGGCGAAACGGGGAAGATCAGCGTCAAAGGTGACGTACGGACACCGCTTCGGTTCATTCGATGTACAGGTTGAGACAGACCATCAGTTGGGAAAGATAAGCAACTAGTTCACCGTCAATTACTTCAGCTTGAAGAATGGATTGAACACTTGAGCAATTCAGATTATCCAGGGTTTATTTGGCTGCCGTAATCCACTGCTTCAGTGACATAAACGTTTGCGAGTGGTGCAGCACTTACCAGACCTCAAAATAAGCTGTATCGGTTCGTTGAGATTGTGTGAGACAATGCACACAGAGGCCCTGTGAACAGTGAAAGACCCGTCGACTGGAGAAGAATGAAGTAGAAACAGCGCCCCAGTATACGAGATACATCAAGTGTATGACCTTAAAGGGTTTACAACTAGACTCAGTGAAATGTGCACTGAACAAAATCAGATGCTTCTTTCAGTATACAAAGAAAGCTAAACTAACCTCCTTTCAAAGTACTCCCTGCGGAACATTCTCGAGCCATTAAGAAACTACTGAACTTCGCATTCAGCTCGCGGTTGGAGCTGACATCCTGAAACATACGCTGGAGCTTTGAAGTGTATTCAAAACCACATGCTTCCTTCAGCTTTGAAATCATAGAGGCTTCAGCATCTTCCGAAACGGATTGATTGTAAACCAAACGTCTGGCAAGCGTTTTGCTGTAAAATTTCTGAAAGACGTCTTTGTCTTCGATGTACTTGAAAACATCCATCTAGAGAATTAAAAGTGGAAACAGTCTTAAAGACAGGAGACATAAACGAAAACATCAAGTAAACAATGTGAAAATTGGAGTGTAGTAGGTCAAAAAACGGCTGAGAAAAGGTCGGATCAGGAACGCAAATAAAAACATATTCACTCCTAGCGGTAAGCAGTGTTCGTCTAGAATAACCTCGTGCTATTGCACATCCACAAAAATCAGGACCGCAGCCACTATGCAGTATATGCCCAGTTCAGATCAGTGCGCGATGACAACAAAATGGCAAGGTAAGTCTTCTCGAAAAATTATTCACCTAGGTCACAACGATTAGGTCGGTTAAACCGCTAAATCCGCAGTAAACAGTCAATGTAGAAGATGAACGATGATGCTTGCATGTGTACATGAGGAGAACATTCAGATCTAAGATCGTTTATTCAACGATGGTTCAGTTGAGTTGCCAAGGTACCACCATTCGAGACTCCAGCTCAAAGCTAAACAAGAAGACACACTAAATCATTGCCTATTTTTGAAAACGAGCAGGTCGTCACACGGGGTGACTAAGTACAGACAAGGAGGACCGGATAGGATAACAGTACAAGCGGTAAGATGACACTATGTCTGCCGACTAGATGAAGGGTTTTACGAAGAGCGATGTGTGAAGTGACACTGATGGCCGGTAGCTTTGTCCATAAGGTTACCTTTTTTGCTTTGTAAGTCTGTATTGCTTAATCTCTCATCTTGTGTGCATCGGGGAACATTAGCTGAGCTGTGATTTGCACCCTCGGCTGTCGTATATTACTGATGTTGATGATGAACGGTAAGGATGATTCCAACAAACACCCATAATACCATAACCATGGATTTCAGAAAATTTAACGTCAGTTACTAGAAAGTCACTAATAGATAAATGTGTCGGCTATGGAGGGCGCAAAAGTGTTTTGTCTAAAATTTATGGGGGACTTAGCCGAAAGCAGCGAGAAAATAGGGTGGGATAGGATAGAGGAAAGAAAAGCCAAACAATGTTCGATGACATGTGCAGAACTCCATCACACTGCAAAAGTCGCCAGAAATTAGAGCAAAGATCGCGGCGCGACTAGGTTACTGAGTACGACAGCTACAGTTTGTAGCATCTATTCATTCATTATACACATAAGCTAGAGAATGGGAAGCACTTCAGCAACTGTGCGGACACAGTTTGTAGCTCGCATTTATAATGTGATTAACATGACCACTAGAGCAATCGTCAAAAGGTGTACAGCGGAACCAGTGATTCTGAGTCAGCAACAATGTTAGTCTGCTTCCTACAACGAGACTACACCTCAACGTCATGCGACGGTTTGCGTAAGTGGTCGATCCAGTGAGCTACACTGGGTGGGGTCCCCGAGCCGCTTGAGAGCTACTCCTACCAGGTTGATCAACAGTTAAAGGTCAGACAAGCTCAGTCTCCAGGTTGGGAATTGGAAACGGGATGGCGTCCATTTCTGTAAAACTAAATCAACGCCACCTCCCCGCTACTTTATGGATAGGCTTTTTGAGACAAAAGGCTTTGGATGCGGACCCTAATCGTCCTCCTGTCTAGGTCTGGGCACCCTGGAATTATCTCATCCCATATACAAATAAGACTTTTCCTTCAAACATAAGCATCATCCTGCATCCGCCGTCGCATAGACTATCAAGGGTCGCCTTAACTGCTGCATACAGCAGGGCGAATAAGCGAAAACATACTACTGTTGGCGCCTCCCTTCTTTAATTACCATCTGTTGCTACTACTCTCCTCGCAACCCCAATTATTAATCATCCCTTTATAATTCCCAGCTTACTTGATAGCAGCCGCAGCGCCACTGGAGTCGTACCATCTGCATCTACCTTGCCGTACCACCCACTGGACGCCCACCAGCACCAGTCTCTTACAAAGCCACGCTGTCCAGTGTCTCTGGTGGCGTTCAACCTTCGCACTTTAAAGCAATTAGTTCAATAGTCTGCACTCGCACCTACGTTGGACACACTGGGTACTGACGTGTTGTGTGTCCGAAACTAGGAGCAATAATCATCATGGGGTTGTTGAATCAAATGTGCCCGGCTTGTTTTCTCGCTATTTTTGCTGAACGCATCTGCAGACACTGATGTGGCAACCACTGGTCAAGCTGGGGTGGGCATCGCTCTCAGCTCTAAGGCCGCGTCATCAATGGTTTGTTGGCTTCTCGTGAGCAGCCGTTTATGTGCAGTCCGTTAAACGACATCAACTCAGGTTGATTCACGAAGTAGGATAAGACGCCGTGCGTTGGTGGTTTCCGCTTATGACCCCCAATGAGTTGCAGTTCTGATACTGCCGCGGACGCCTTCTATCACGAACTGAACATGTTGCTTCGCATGGCTACCATTTCAGATAGCATAGTTCTCGCGGAAGATATGAAAGCGCAAGTAGGTCGTCTGAGCACTTCAGAATCCCAACTAGGTGGTGGTTATGGAGGGACAACGGCGAGTGCCCGTTGCGCCTGTGTGCGGAACACAGGCTGCTTCTTAATAGCTTCGTTTCTAGACACATTGGGCGCCGAAGTGTCACTTGGCGTCCACCTACAGCTGGCCAGCGTTGGACCTAAATTGGTCACGTTACCATAAGTTACAGGTGGCGTGCTTTCATACTGGACTGTCGCTCGTTCAGGAATACCTGCGTCGACTCTAATCACGCTTTGATACTATGTTATTTTTCTAAGAAATTTGCCGTGAGGCGTACTAAGCGCCTTCCTAGATTGGCAACTGAGAAGCTACCTCAGGCCTCGGTCAAGCAAACCTAGCAAGATGCTCTGCGTACTAAACTTTCGCTCTATCGTCTTAATGACAGTGGAATAGGATCTTGGCCGTCATGCACAATGTGGGAGCCTCTGCTTGCGGTACTATCAATCGTCACCGCACCAGTTACTGGAGATCCGAGGTCAGTGAATCTGTTGGAATCAAGAGGAAAACTCCCTTCTTACTCTGTGCACAGTGTAACTAAGCGGACTATCAGGTGCGAACTAAAACGGAGCCTGCGTACTGATAAGTAAGCCTTATGGACTAGTAGGGCTCAAGAAATGAAGGAAGCGGGAGCAGTTGGCAACTATCCCATACTCTTACAACGGATCCGAACCACTAGTCCCAGAAAACTAGGCGTGAATGAGACAAACAGACAACGCGGGTGCCCTGTTTCAAAATAAGAAGCGCCGCATGACTTTTTGAGCGGAGCACTTTCGAGAGCAGTTCAGCTGACCTCCCGCTCTTGGATCTTTCCCTACTAAGGTGATGCAGGCCGAGCCATGGACGGTTAGTCTAGAGGCTCCGTCGGAGGCTGAGGTACGAAACGCGATAGCAGTCCTCAATCGTTTTTGCGCCGCGTGTCCGGATTCCCAAACAACCGCAATATTTAAGGTTGGTGATGAGGTTCTCCGCAAATTACTTACCCCATTGTTCGAACAGGTCTGGAAGGAAGAGTATTCCAGCTAAATGGAGTGAATCAATTACCGTAGTAATATATAAGATGGGCAGCCGCACCAACTGTGCTAACAACAGAAGTATAAGCTTAAGGCCAATGATCACAAAATTACTAGCCTCAGTTTTCATACGTTGCTTCACAACGGAACCGGAATATCGCATAAGGGAAGAGGTCAGGTTTACGCCCAGGAAGAGGATATATAGACCATATATTAACTTTGTGGCAGGTTCCAAAGCAGTGCCACTCGTACCGCAGACCGATAATATTTGTGTTGCTCGACCTCAACATTGCGTTCGACTTAGTCGGTCGATGGAGATAATGTTCGAGATATTTATGTGCAAAGATGTTCCCTTAACATAAGTGAACATTTTACGTGCACTATACTCGAACGCCAGAGACAGCTTCAGGGTGAACAACGACGTATCCGATATCTTCCTGACACGTGACGTTCGTCAGCGCCATCCAATTTCCCCATTTTTGTTCTACTTCGTCGTGAACTCCATCATGGAGCATTCCCTTGCAAAGCCCCACGACGCATGCATTGAGGTGTTGCCTGGGGAAAAGCTAGTTGATCTTGAATATGCGGATGAGATTGTCTTGCTGTTTAACAAATGCAGTGCGAGAGACAATTCTGAATGACCTCTCTAAACTGGTCCCATCATATGGCATGCGCTATGAATCTTCAAACTGCAAAGAGTTGTTGCAGGACCACCAGCAACTTGACGTCTGCGACATCTGTGATGCCAGGATGGGGTTTCCAAAGGTCTAAAAGACGGTGATACAAGGCAAAAATGAGGACCGTCCTACTCTATAGTAGTGAGATTTGGTCCCTTCGACCTGATGATCTGCGGTACCTCCAAGTCTTTAATCATCGTTGGCTGCAAAGCATTGATGGTGTCGGATGGCACCGGCATGTCCGAAAGGATGATGTGAGTAGGCGATTTCTAGGCACAGATAATCAAGCTAGTTCCTTAGAACAACAGATAACACTGAATAAGCTGCATTAGTTTGTGCACGCCATATGTATGTCCGGTCCCCGTTTCAGGAGAAGGGCCTTGTTTTGTTCGCAAATGTAGGGTGGCGCAAGGCCCGAGGTGGTCCAGTTAACCTGGCAGCAAGAACTGAGATCAATAACGACGAAACTCGGTGCCGTTGGTATGTCTCGCCTTCCAGGCTGGAGTCCACATGACCCGCCTTGTGTATGACTCGAGACGTTACAGGACATGACTCGCAGTCGGCACCAGTGGGGTATCTACTGTTGTCTTGTAGTCGGACCGTCTGTTTAAAGTGTGTTTGATGCTGAGTTATCAGCGGGGTAACGGATGATTAGGTCGCGTGACAGTGAAAGCCGCAAAAAAGCTGGCTCCCCGGTGCCGCCTTAATTTTGCAAGACAGAGCTGACTGTATTTTGTTGACAAGGTGTAAGCGCTTTGACGCCCAATGTTTGTTTAGGGCACTAAGGTTTAAGGCAAGGTACCACACTCTCCAACTGTCATTATTCTTCGTTCCGTAGACTACCATGGTTGTACGGCAAGGAAGCATTAGTTCAAATGGCTGCTGTCCATGATGATGAGATGACGACGATGAGGATGATGATGGTGGTGGTGATGACGATGATGATGACGATGAGGATGACGATGTGGTCTATTCCTATGACCAGAAAGCCACCTTCAACCACCTTGGTCACATTTCTTAACACACTACTCTTCCATGTAGAAATGTTTTCGTCGCAACTCTGGAGACCGTGCATGCCGGCCTGGTGCAGTTTCTTGATCGGAAAACCCGTGAATTAATGTCTTTTCTGTCTTCAAGGCAATGGCTTTGATGGGTGATGGTCTAGAGAGAAGTAACATCTACTGAGAAAATCTATTCATTTAATGAGAAAACGACGAACTAAAATGTTTTAATAAAAGTCATTTCAAGAACATTCAATTCTGTCACGTGGCAGCCGAAGAGAAACTGAACTGCCACTTGTGATAGCTGACCTAGCTGATCTATGATCTGAACGTTCGTGAGTTGACCTATGAACGTGTGGTGATTTTCACACTTACATCGCTTCGGGAGCTGATCCTGCAATAAGTTGCCGCGTGAAGCATTGATTTGCGATTTCGGTTCGGGATCAGAGCTAGCGAAGCACGAGATCAATCCATCGGGTGTAGTATGGAAAGAGGGAGATCTAACAGCGATACATAGAAGAATCAATACCATACCTGAGATGTGGTTTTGTTGACAGAATACAACCCCTTGCAATAACTGCGAGAGCTGACACCGAGGGTTGCATTTCCCATCAGCAATACGCACCGTCAAAGTATCACGTTCTATTGTAACACACGACACTTACGTCACTGGTCCCGGCCTTAGTGGACAGGCATTCCAAATCGTCGGCCGCTGACCGATTGGTTAAGTCACCTGGCTTCGAATCTAAAAACAATGATCTGAGTGATCTTGTGATATATTCAGTCCGCAGGCGACTTTCGATTGTTGTGCAGCAGCGGAACGTCAGTACGACGTAAAGGTGTATTGGTGATGCCTTTCTTCGGCTATCTAAGGAATTGCATCCACTTGGCCGGAGACCATCACAGGTAACTTGGCACCTTGAAAAGACCGGTAAATATTTTCAATGACCGACCCACATACGACGGAAGTGTGGTGTCAGTTTGTCAATTAAGGGCATAGTGCACGAAACAGCGCGATCAGGATTCTCGTATGAATCCGATATGTGACCAGTGCGCACTGACGAAATTAGGAGTCTGGACGCTGTTACCTATGCGGTGTCGGTAATATGCGGTATGTACATCGAGTGGGCAATGCGGAGATCCATCTATCGGTGTATGACATCAAATGCTCCCAACATACACTGGATCGTAGGTTGAAATAGGAAGATCTGTTATTATCAACTTGTGATTTCGCATATCTCTCGACCGTCTAGTTCAGTGGATGATGTCTACCCGACTGAACAAATGCCCGTTGTGACGAGTCACTGAGAGGTTGCAAGACTTGCTAATGAAGGAGGACAAAGTATTTCATTCCGGGGGAGTTTCGGGTGCATCTATCACGTGACTCTTATTTGTTAGTTCCACCACCACCACCACCACCATCGCAGCCGCCGCCGTCGTCGTCATCGAAACATTCCCAGTATGCATATGCGATCCATGGTATAAATGAGTTGAGTTTCGATGCGCAGTGCATGGCACGAAAACCAAATAAATTCAAGTACACAACTATGGGGGGGGGGAGCAAAGGTGCATCATACAGGGTTGGAAAAACTGTTTCTGTCATCGTAAAAAGGGCACTTACAACTTGCCCAAGAGTCTCCTCCAAATCATCTATCTGTACATCCTTAGGGCTAGAGCAAACAGAAAATGAGAGAAACATGGATTGAAATAAGAACAGATGTCAGTGTCGAGCCAAGATAAATGGAATATGCAAACATCAGCATCATCACAGGTTAGCTACGGGTGAGAAACACTTCGGCTACCGTACCGCATGCGATACAGTTACAGAGACTAAAGAAAGAAAGCGTAAAAGGCAACTCAACAAAAAATGAGCCAAATGATACTAGACCTGGCTTTTGTTGATGCATCGGTATTGAGACCGTAGTTGAAGGAACGGGCGAAGCGGTAAGGAAAAGAACAAAGAACCCCACAACACAAACTGAGTTAGGCTGAAGAGGTGACCGATACATCCATGTTGACGAAACCTGGCCTGCTGTTCGCGATTCTGACCTTCACAAGCAACAGTTTGCGAAGTACGGTAGTGGAGTTGATGAAGACCAATATAATCCGAAATTCCAAGCGTGAGCATTCCTGAAAATTAGCACCATAACGGAGCAGCTTCGATGGTTGATACTAATTCTTGCTCTCATAGCCTTGTTAATGAATCGTGTATAACTTAGCGATGGTAGGCATCACGAAGTTGAAGAGAGTAGGAATAAGTCCAGCTGGTTTTGCGGTATTGCACAGTTTCAACTGTTCTGCTGGAGAGGGATGATCCAAAAAAGAACGGAACAGGTAACAGGGGAAACGATGACCGAAGAGGAGGGTCGCAATTCTGGGCAATTACATTGCTGAGCCCAACGCCCCAAGCGCTTTGGTGAGTTGTGGATAGACCTTCCTCTGCCATGGCAAATCTGCTGCCATTTCGTTTTTGAGACAGAAGGTTCTTCATTTCGGATGCAAGACAAAACCACCAAACTCCGAGGTATCTAGCGCGCATTACTGCCGTGATATATTCATAAGTCTCGTCGCATCACTCTACTACGTGGAAGGTATCCGCGGGCATTCAGAACTTTCACGGAATGCGTAGAGCTAATACCCATACTGGCAATCGAATTTGCCGCACAAAGACAACCACTGCTAATGTGTGCGATGTGTTCAGTGAACGCTTGCTAGTGTCCTTGATGTGCATTAAAGAACATACGGCCTCGACCATTGGCCAGCGCCTATGCACTCACAGTGTTGCCCCAAGCATTCACCGACGCGTAATCCTAGCGCAGCTCATGATCGGCGATCGCGGATGCACTATCAACTCATTATCTCCTCTCGTTATGTAAGCAAACTTAAATTATGATTAAAGGCACTGACTTGACGCAATATATAAAACTTCGTGATTGTGTCATCAGAAAAGACACTAATCTATATGATTTTGAAACCATTTTGTTCAATCCAGGTTCGTCTTAACTAAATAGATACTCAAACCGCATTCTTAAAAGTCCGATAAAATGGACACCAGGAGAAAATGGGTCAATCAAGCGATAGTTTGAAACGCAGCATCTCAAACCGTTATCAGCTGCCAATTACGTCCATGGCTGGTCTGAGAGTAGTGAAGGGGGGAGGGGTCGTGGCACCCTTCAGCGAGTGCTGCATCGAAAGTTATTGAATGCGATAAAGAGACGAGAATCTTCACATAGATGCAGCAACCGCTCATCATTGTCATCACGGGAACTTACACCGTGGTGGCACGCACACGGATCACATTATTTTACAATTTTCCAACTTCGGCATTCAGATTACCAGTCAGCACTACAGTTTCCGTAGTTTATAGCTCGTTCAGATGAGGATAAAAGACATTTTTCAAGTAATCAGTGATAGAGCATGGGAGGGGGCATAGGCAGAGATGACAAACAAGCGTCTGTTGTCTCCGCGCAATCCAGTCAATCTGCCGTGCCACATCCAAGTGCTGCTTGAGAGATAGTCGATCAGAGTACTTTTACTATGGTCGATGAGTGCAAGAGCAACACTGGCTAGGCTAACATTTAAAGCTGCATCATCTCGAGATAGACGCAATGTAAAACTGCTCCCACTGTTATATGAAGGCGATCATACAGTGAGCACAGAGATCGTGTCCTGCAGGCGAATCAATGAAAACGTGCACTATATATCAATTTATTTATCTTAATGATATCGTCGTTGCAAGCGATTGACTGTTGCTTGATATCCCCGGTGTGGCTGCGCTTGATGTGCATGTTGACAAGGTGCCTACCTGTCTATTACCCACTACCTCGTCCATACTGGCTCCGGGAGACAGTTGGTCGTTGTTGGAGGGGACGGGGTGCACGGTCCTTGTGATCGTGTTAGGATCAAAGAGTGGTTCCATGTACTAGAGGCTAACGCCAACTAGCCAGCAGCTTATGCCACTGAGCCATGGGGGACGACAGCCGACCATTACGAATGGAAACCTAACTGCGATATAGCCCGACCCATCTTCCACTGCCGTGCAGGTTATTGCTCGTGCAGAGGACAGTGGTCATCCGTCACGGTCAGATCTTCCCTTGCCAGCGCCGTGAATACACACAGCAATTTTGAATACTGGTAGGGCTGAGATTTTGATTACTAATGTGTAGACGGATTTGGATATGCTTCGATTTGGTTCATCGCAATTAGATTACAAGCCGCAGAGGTAAGCTACCAATCTAATTGCGATGACCTAAATGGAATCATACCCAAATCTGTCTACACATTAGTAATCAAAATCTCAGCCCTACCAGTATTCAAAATTGCTGTGTGAGTTCATGGTGCTGGCAAGGGAAAACCTGACCGTGACGGCTGACCACTGTCCTTTGCACGAGCAATAACCTGCACGGCAGTGGAAGATGGGTCGGGCTATATCGCAGTTAGGTTTCCATTCGTAATGGTCGGCTGTCGTCCCCCATGGCTCAGTGGCATAAGCTGCTGGCTAGTTGGCGTTAGCCTCTAGCGGTCATGGATTCGATCTCCCGTAGGAGATCGATGGATGCGCGCCATTGACGAGCCCCAATGGGGCGAAACGCGCGTCTGGTGCTTTTCCGAATTGGTAGCTGGGTAGCCGTGTCAAATTGCAGTTCCGTTGGTATCCCGTTGATCAACACCCTGATAAATCGTCGTCTCGGTTTACACTCACTTTGGAATGCGGCAAATATGGACAGAGCCTCTGCGCCATCCTTCCTAGAATTCCCCTTTTGATAAGACTTCTTCACTTTCTTCGACCGGACCTGACTGCAGAATTCCTCCTTATGCCCACGCTTATGGCACGTTTGATAAATATGACTTTTGAACGGACAAAAGCGCGCGAAATGCCATTCGCCGCATGACCAACATGCTGTGAGCGGCTTGTTCGTAGACCTCTTGTAGGGTTTGCTTCGGTTGGCAGCCCTGACTTTTTCACGAAGTGAACCGTATCTGGTGGTATGAGACCATTCCGTTCGACCATGGCAGTGTCGTGTTTTAGAGTGAGAAGCTGTTTGCATTCGTTTACGAGGGCCTTCAGCGTCAGATCAGGATCCTGATCCAGCTTAGCTAAAAGCCGCGTGCGGATCTCAGCCTCACTGGGCGATTGTAGAGCGCTGACGAAAATGAGATATTTAAACTGATCGTCCGTTAAAGAGCGTAGTTTGAAACGCTCACACTCACGGTTAATCAAGTCTGTTAGGACCCCAAAGTCGTGCGATTACTGTTGGACAATTTTCAGGCACTGATAATGAATACTAAACAAGGATACTGACTCAGCAAAAATGTCCTTCAGCTGCGACACTACTTCGTCAAAAGTCAGATCCTTCGGCTGTTTGGGCAAAATGTGGTCTATGAACTGTGAATGTTTACTTATTCCGAGCTTACGGAGTAGCAATCGCACCTTCCAAAAGTCGTGCTGACGAATGAAATTCGACCGCAACATGTCTTCCCAGCGCTTGAACCACGCTTCGAATGTGTATCCAGAATCCGCGTCATAATTGAATTCAGTGATTACATTCGTGAGAAGATCAATAGAACTCGCCTGTATGTCCCGGGTCGCTGCTTCTGTTGTCTGCAAACTCAAGCATTGTGTCAGACTTTCGATCATTTCTTTTGTGCCTCCCTTTGAGACTGCTGTTGGAAAAGCAGCTTTTGAAATTGTTTACCAGAAAAATCCATCACATTTCCAAGTTTCTTCGTCGCCATTTGTTATAATCTACTCACTAGATGCGATTACGAAATCGGCACTTTACTGCTCCACAAAACTTTTAGCCCAACCGAAGGTAAAAGCAAAACGCCAATGACCTTGACAAAATAACGTATTGATCGTCGTCAACAAACACTGCACAACTACCGCGGACCATGACTCTATTTATAGGTCTCTTACTGACCTTCGACTTCTAGAATTGGAAGGTCAGCTACCAAGGTTGGTGGTTCCCCATAGCTTTTGTCGTGGTGTCAGGTGGTTTTTAGTCACGTGCAGAAACTAGAACATTCCAGAAGGTTCCAAATTGATGCGATAATCGTCCTTAATCGATAAATCGCTAAAATAGTAGGTTTTCTAGGCAATTCTTACTTTCACCCGGGCAGTCCACGTTCATGCTCCGAATCGAGCGACGGCTTTGGATACAGCCTCTCCAGTGGTAAATGATCGCGATGTGATCAATTTGCGTCCATGGCGGGTCGGAGGCCGGTGGGAGCCAAGCCACTCTTCTGCGGGTGCCTTGTTGAAAGTTAGTGCTCGCAAGAAAGAGACGAGCATCTTCACTCTGGTCTAGCGACCGCTCACCGTTATTATTACGGGAGCCTACACCATGTTGGCCGCAGAAATGAAGCTCGTCACAGGACAATTTGCCGACTTGGGCTTTAAGACAATCAGCAAGCACTACAGTATCCGCACATCTTCTGTAACGAAGGAGATCGTTAAGTTAGTGATAGAAATCATTTTTCACCGAATCACTGATGTAGTTTGTGGGAGCGTAGGCCGCAATGAAAAACAAGCATCGTTTGTCCCAGGGCGACTTCGGTGCTTTGAAAGACCCAGTCAATCTGACAGTGCACACCCTGGTGTTCATTGGGATCCAATTGATCAGGGCAGCTTCAGCCCGGGGGGCTAAGAGAAGTGCCCACAACGGTTTGACCGGTATTTTAGGCCGCACCACCTCCGGACAGGCGCAACGAGAAAATACCGCCAGTGTCGCACGCTGGGGATGGCAGGCTAATCACAGAACTCGAGTCTTGAAGGCGAGTTTCGGATGAGCAGCAGATATCGATTGATAGGGTTTTCAGAGTTCAGACAAGTGCTGTCTGTCCGCCAATTTGCAACAAAGTGTGCACACCCAGGTATGCCAGTCTTAGGGAGGATCGAGGGCTACAAGTAGATGCAGATGGACTGACGATGTCCGTTTGGCTGGATATGAACTTGCCGACTGCAACAGAGCGTCGCCCTGCGATTGCGTGTGAGTGGAAACGGTACAGAGATGGGGGAAAGCTAAGAATTACGGATTGAAAACAGGGGGAATAAAAGTGAAGTTGGGACGTTAAGGATGGAAAAGCGCAAGAGAAGGAAAATGAAAGCGGAAGGTTGGGCAGTAGCATCCAAAGCCCTAGCCACCCTGCTCGATGCAGCAGAAAGGGAACCGTTTATTATCCTCTGCGATGGCCAAAGCATCAACAGATTCACTAACGCAGTAAGAAGACATAGGTTGCGATATGTTAACATTTCGATTGCTCTCGTCAGTCACTACGCAATACAGGCAGAACAAAATACGCATTAAATACGGTCCACACTTAGTAACATAGATAAACAGACAAAATTGATGTGAATGACGTAATCAGGTCCAAGGCAATCTAATTGATTGCCTCAGTTGTTTCTGGGCACAGAGCGCGGGACAATTCAACCTTATCAGTAGCGCCTCGCCAACTGCCAACAATGTCGGGTTCCTGTTGCGCAATAGCATTTTTAATGAATCGATTGGGTTCACCTGGTGACGAGTCGTCATTAGGTGTTTAGTGATAGACGAGGCAGGGTTCCGGTTCATGCTTTGGTCCACTCCGCCTTGGTAAACAGCAACTGCCTTAGCCACAATGGGATGTGTTCCGCCACCGTTTGAGCCAGCCGGCGACTATTCTTGCCGATGTAAGTGTCACCACAACTGCAAATGAACTGGTAGATGATGTTAGAAGCCGAACTGATTAGGGAGCTACTCGGACGGCTGTAGAGAGGAATCATTCGTGTAGTTTGGATAAGTCGTACTCGGGCGGTAGAGTGGGTGCGCATTAGAGCGGACTTGAGCTTATGACCAATCTCATTTGCAACATGATCCCCCTGAACGGTAAGAACAAATAAACATCCTTCTTCTCCGCTGTTTGTACTGGCATCTTCTCCTTTGGGGGTTTTGCTATGGGTCTGATGGGATTTCTCCGGATACCCATTGGATAGCAGCGTCCGGAAAGTTGCTGTCTGTATAGGTGAGGCAAAGCTTTACAAGCGCTATGTAGACGATATTCTCGTCTTCACAAGTGGTGAACATTCCGACCGTTTTTCTGCCCTCCTGAACTCAATTCACCCAAACCTTTCTGTATCACAGGAGAGAGAATAAAAAGACAGGCTACCATTTCTGGACGTGTTCATCAAGAGAAGGACTGATGACATACTGCAGAGCACTGTGTACAGAAAGGCGACCTGGGTGGAGACAATACCTACATTTTTCCAGCTTCACCCCAGTTGCGGCATCGTAAAAACTCTTTACTACAGGGCCAGGCGAATTCGCAGTCCGGAATTCCTTAAGGCTGAAGAAGAATTTTTATACCGGACGCTGCTATCCAATGGGTATCCGGAGAAATCCCATCAGACCCATAGCAAAACCCCCAAAGGAGAAGATGCCAGTACAAACAGCGGAGAAGAAGGATGTTTATTTGTTCTTACCGTTCAGGGGGATCATGTTGCAAATGAGATTGGTCATAAGCTCAAGTCCGCTCTAATGCGCACCCACTCTACCGCCCGAGTACGACTTATCCAAACTACACGAATGATTCCTCTCTACAGCCGTCCGAGTAGCTCCCTAATCAGTTCGGCTTCTAACATCATCTACCAGTTCATTTGCAGTTGTGGTGACACTTACATCGGCAAGAATAGTCGCCGGCTGGCTCAAACGGTGGCGGAACACATCCCATTGTGGCTAAGGCAGTTGCTGTTTACCAAGGCGGAGTGGACCAAAGCATGAACCGGAACCCTGCCTCGTCTATCACTAAACACCTAATGACGACTCGTCACCAGGTGAACCCAATCGATTCATTAAAAATGCTATTGCGCAACAGGAACCCGACATTGTTGGCAATTGGCGAGGCGCTACTGATAAGGTTGAATTGTCCCGCGCTCTGTGCCCAGAAACAACTGAGGCAATCAATTAGATTGCCTTGGACCTGATTACGTCATTCACATCAATTTTGTCTGTTTATCTATGTTACTAAGTGTGGACCGTATTTAATGCGTATTTTGTTCTGCTTGTATTTCGTAGTGAGTGACGAGAGCAGTCTAAATGTTAAGATATCGAAACCCATATATTCTTACTGTGTTGATGAAGTGGTTGAAGAGGACTCAGTGTTTCAAACATCAACAGATTGTTTGAAGAAGTCAGTGTTGTATTGCGCGGGCGTGACACAGTCAGGTTGCCCAGGCCTAGACAGGAGAACGATTCTAGTTCGCAACCAAAGCCTTTGGTTCGAAAACCTGACCACAGGGGTTTTGGCACTGGACTACAGAGTCCGTCGTATGGAGTAAGGAGCCACCCTCCCTCCAACCTCTAACCTAGAGTTTGTCAGGCTTTTAACCATTGACCAATCTGGTATGAGTTGCTCTGAAGGTGCAAAAGCATCATTCCGCATAGCGCAATGGATCGCTGAGGTACACGAACCAACGCACCGCGTTAAGGTTCAGTCTAACCTCTAACCAGTGACCAATCTAGTATGAGTAGCTCCGAAGGGGAAACCAAAACCAGCAGAGCTCAATGGATCGTAGAGGCATGTAAAGATCGCATCACCTTAATGTCCGGTCTCGTCGCGATATGCGAGGATGAAAAGATCAAGAATGAGAAACTCAAGAGGAAGCGTTCCTAATGCCGGGATTATTGATAACAATCCGATACCACGTGGCAGGTCTAAGTAAGAGCTGATAAGCCAAGTTAAATCACGGTGAAGAGCATATCTAGTAATGTGGTCCAAGAACTCACCTTCTTTTGAGTAAAAAATCTGCGTACTTAGCCAGAAGTTCTGGAGATTTCCTGGCGCTACCTGCCAGTTCGGTCACAGCATTACGATTGATGAACCGCTCGCAGCCTTTATCTAAGGCTCGGCTAAAGGCAGGATCGCATGCAAAAGCCGATAGCACCAGGTTGTAATACTTTCGATGTATCCGTAGGATAGAGTCAACGTACAATTTGGGATCCTGAAATAAACGTTGATAGTTTTGGGGATCACGTAACAAGTTTAAGAAGGAACAATGTCATAAAGATAAAACCATGTGAGCCTTTAGCCGAATAGATAAATATACAGCACATACAAAACTATCGAATGCTGGTTCAAAGTTACGCCATTGGTGTTAGGGTGAGGAAAGCAAAGGCTTCGTGTAATAGGACCCCACGTCTGCCGATCCAGTTGGCCCGAAGGAGTCGGTTTGAATACATTCTGCGATCAAAAATATGGTCATGTACAAAAAGATAAAGGAACGTGCAAAAATGTTGGTACAAGAAACGGTGGAGACAGAAGAGCTAAGGAATGTACTCAATGACTGAAAAAGCAAACGGATATGGAAAAACCCAGATGTTAAAAAAAGCTGCTATATTCAGATACTGGTGCAATGATTTGGCTGACCAGAAAGAATTTTTCAGATTGCATCTGATCAGTTTGCAATAAAGCGCCAAAACAAGACATGGTGATTGAAGATGTTGCAATGACATGATTTCCAAGAGCTAAAACCGAAGGACCGTGGTAGTAAGTGCATGATCAGACAATGAAGTGGGTATACATAGAAATGGTTAATGAATACGCGACAACCGTGGAAACGCACTGGCGCAAACGCACCCGCAGGCGCTATGGAGCTATCACTGAGACGAGGTGCTATTCCAGATAAAAAGGGTATCAGTGGTACAGCCGTGTGTTGCACCGGTACTTCGACGCCAAGCAACTGCACAAGCGGTTGCACGGGAGTTGCAAAAGCTGGAATTCGAATGCATGGAGTATTGACCGCAAACGGGTGAACAACTGCATCATAAAACAGTCAAGATATAAGAAGGTGTTAGCACACTCTAACCCAATATTCACTTCGGGGTACAACAGTTGACACTAGGAAAAGTAACCACCAGGTAGGTGCAGGTGTCAAAAAGCACTGGGATATTCGGCCGCTGAATCAATAGGTTAATAGATCAGAAACGATAAGGAAGCGACTGTACATGAGATAGTGTAAGGGAACAATGGAATTAACTGCGTCACTAGCACAAATAGTCGGCTAAAAACTTTAAACGCGTTGGGTGTAGTGCATGGCTATAATGTGGATCAAATGATCCGATGGTAGCGGAACAACTCACTGTTAAGGCCGCCTGAGCAACTTGACGAAGTGCTTCAGAACCCTTCTCTTCCACATGATCTTCGACCATGGATACAAGAGCTCGCATGCCATTTGGAAAGTGACCGACCAACTTATACATGCGCCAAATATCTGCAATTGGAAGGGAGGGAACGTGAGCGATACATTTGTCCGGGTGAACGGGAGCGAGCAGATGTGAGAAAGGAGAAAACACCGGATTGTAGTAAATGACCCCTAAGTGCAACTTCATTGCTTCCATACTGGGTGAGAAGCACAAATCCACCGGTATTTGAAAGGAGATTACAACATGTGTTAATACAGCAGCACTACGGATACACTAGGATGCAGAAAAAGTGAGATCAGAAGAAAAAATAAAAATGGTCATCCGTGTAAAGGGGACGATTAAAGTTTTACAAATAACAGAAACAGAAACGTTTGCGGCAAGTGCAAACCGGTGCTGTTATCTGGTAAACAAATCGGGTGAGAGTATATATATTATTATATTTATTCATAAGTCTGAAAACATACAAATGTGCCATCAGAACCATGGCTGTAATGATATGGAAAATGGTTGTTCAAAAAACAAAGGAAAATGGCTTTTCTCTCTCTTCATTTTGTTAGTTGTAAAATTTCACACGCGCCGTTTTGAATTGATAAAGTGAGAACTGATGACAGGTAGCGCTAGGTGAAAAAGCCGTTCACTACTGAGAATACTTGCAGCTCGGGGTGTGGATAATTGAGTTCAGCTACTCTCTGAATTGGATGTTTTCGCCACAAACTTTTCTTTACCTGACCTGTCCTGGTGATGAAACGTCTGCAATCAAAACACCCGGTTCAGAAAGCAACCAAACGCATTGTCATGGATAGGTGAGCAGACCAAGTGCCGTCTAAATTAGTGACAGTTTAAGTGTTTAAAGTGAGTTTAAGTGTCACAAAATGACAGACGGGTTTACAAATGATAACCAAGTAGATGAACCTGGGCGAGGTATTGCAGGTATTAGGAGCGTGCATCCCCTGGGAGCAGATGATGTGGCTAGAAGCAGATACCAAGCACGTCGATGTTTTCGTTACCGTGGAAAGTACACCGCTGATGACAATAAGCAAAGCAGATGAATCCGGAAGAGAATAGAAGAGTGAGCCGAAGGAAATGTTGCGGTACCGATGAATGTAAAGAAAAAAGTAACATTAATGTATCAAAAGATGGACGAAAATCTTTACCGATTTGCTAGATGTCAACTGCCACCATATTCACCCGGCATCCAATGATGACAGAGGGCTAGTCATACACAGGGAACCAGAAGCTTAGATGGCCGAAGCGAGGTAGAAGCAAGAAATGTTAAACGCAGCATCCCAGTATACGTTAGGCAACGGTGAGAAACAGCTCAGCAATTGTGCCACAATACAAAAAGATAATGTATATGAATACAATGGAATACAAAACATCGCAGAAAACCAAACAAACACATGGAATATAGTGTTCAGTAGCGGGTAATGCATGGAGTGTGAGATCTTTGTGGGAGGAGGAAGCCAAGCAGGAGGGGGGACAAGGAAAGTCACAACACAAACGCCATTGAGGTCGGATCTTCGCCACGTAAACAGGTGTATACAACCAGACGCATTCATCATCTTTCAGGACCCAACAGACGCCAATTTCAAAGTGGAAGCTTGCATTCCTCTTGACCAAATCGTTGCATGGCCTGCCCTCCTCCTCTTCCATCCTCACCCCGGTAGCGCAAATGCGGCAAGTTGTGGGAGTCGGTGCACTTGAATACGTTGACGCGACCGTCAGCGGAGCCTGGTGCGTGGTATAACGGTGCCGTGTGGTTCACTGGCTCTTCCTGCACCAAGTACACGACGTCGAACACGCTCATTGCGCACGCGGTGTACCAATTAAACATGAGCGAAATTGCGGACGCAGCGGTGGTCGAACATAGCTAACCCCACTATGTCTGTTGATCTGATATGCCAGATCTCACAACTGTACATAAGGGCTGAACATACTGCTGCATCGTAAACTCTGCCCAAAGAACTAGACCCCCGAATTAAGAGAAAGCTGAAGGAAATTTATTTACTCCTGTGACTTTATTCAATTTCGACAGTTTGATTTCACGTTCGACTTCTACGCGTGAGGGTAGATCCAAGGGAACGGCCCAGGGAGAGGGGCGATCAGTGACAGATAAGGAAGATAGTAACTGACGGATAAAACTGGTTTTCAAAGTGTTCGGCCCAAAGCTCCAAACGCTATAAAAAGCTGTGGATTGGTTGAACAATCTCGTCATATAGAATTTCACTAACACCAGGTCTCCCACTGCCTGTTTCGCGCATCAGACGAAATAAACTAAATTACTGATGGTTTTGTTGTGAGTAGTATAATTCTCGTAGAAAGTAGAAGCGACGATTAAACGTTGCACAATAATCTGCCTCGACGGGGAATTGAACCCCGGACCCACGGATTACCGGTTCGCTACTCTACCACTGAGCTACCGAGGGCTGACGACCAGGTGCGCAATTAAATACATGACTTCTGCTTGGTTCGCGACGTAGTGCCAATAAGCTCACAGTATCTGTCCTGGTGTTGCAGACTGGCTCATTCACTCACGGACCGGTAATCCGTGGGTCCGGGATTCGATTCCCCGTCGAGGCAGATTAATGTGCAAAGTTTAATCGTGGCTTCTACTTTCTACGAGAAATAAATTAAGACGGTTACGTAGACCAGCGGCCAATTCAGGCAGTTTCGCCCGGAGGTTTTTGCGAGTCACGTTGTGTTCGCTTCCAACCGTAATATGTCGGCGAGCATCCAGAAGTTCCAGAGACTGCGTAGAGACCCAATGTCCAGTTTGGCAACTTGATTTCCCCCTTGAAGACATGCCTGTTGCTAATAACATCTGGCGGATATGTGAACAGTGATCTTCAACTGCGTTCAGTGAGCGCTCGTTGTTTGGATACCAGCGCAGTTTGATACGCATTCTAAACACCTAGACTTACCAACTGCCTGGTGTATATGCGCGCACACTGGTGTCATGAGCGTCCGCCGAAGCGAAGTAGGAAAGTGCTTGGGCTGAATCCACACTCGTGCTCCAAGCCGACCAACAGTATTGGGCACAGCTTCTATATCGACAAAAGATAGCTAGATGATCGATTTGAGTCAACGGCTAACCCGAGGCTAGTGGGCGCTATGTCACTCCTCGGCGGGTGGGGTGTCAGAAGTTAGTATTCGCGAGAAATAGAGGAGAATTTTCACAAAGGTGCAACAACCGCTGGTTATTATCATCACGAGAGCTTACCACGTGGTGGTACCCACATGCAGCGCATCAATGTGCACTTTACTAATTTGATCATACAGATAAAGCAGCTAGCACTGAAGTGTCAGTATATCTTCCATGATGAATGAGCCTGTTCAATCGACGATATTTTTTGCAGTCAATGACACAGCTTGGGGGTGGCGTAGGCAGCGATGACAAACAAGAGCCTGTTGTCCCCGAGCAATCCAGTCAATCTGTTGTGGCACATCCGGTTACTGATTGCAAGTCAATCAGCCAGAACAGCTCCACTATGGCCGATGAGTGCAAGAGCAAAACTGACTAGGCCGCCATTTAAAACTACATCATCACCAGGTAGCCGCAGTGTGAAACTGCCCCAATTGTTATATGAAGGCAATTGTAGAGTAAGCACAGAGATCGCGTTCTAAAGGCGGATCTATGAAACGATATATATGCCAGTTTTAATGAACGATCTAAATAGTAACGAATGAACTGACGTTGTTTGCTTGGTTGAACATGGACTTTTCGATTGGACCGCAACGACGCCCTGTGATTGCTTGTGAGTCGTAACTAAAAGATATACGGCCAAGGAAGAGCATGGGGGTCAAAGAATTGGGTGGTTGAAAACAAGGAGGAAAAGTGATGTTGGAAGGGAATGAGAAGGATAAAAAAGCGCAGGTGAAATAAGAAGACAGGAATGGATGAGCAGTAGCAGTCTCATCATTATATACCATGCTGGATGCAGCAGACAGTGCACCGCTGAGACGGCCAGAACGTCAAGAAATTGTCGGAAGAACCGGTTATGGTATTGCGTGGGCGGAATACTGAGAGTCAGGAGAGCAATTAAGGTTCTCAACCAAAGCCTTTGGTTCAGAAACCTGATACCAAGGCAGCGGGACTTTGGCAGTGACCTACAGGGAGTCCGTTTTGAGGAATGAGGAGCCACTGGTGAACTGCTAGGCTGTTTCGCCTGTTGGACTGCGACCGTCTCTGCACAAGTACGCGCGCAACCTACCGAAAACCAAAAACCGGAGGCTCGGTAGACAGGGTATATTCCATAGAATAAGTCGTTTCTATTTATTAATGAACCATACATACTAATTTTGGAAAGCATGCTCACCCGATCTTCGGCGTCTGGCCCTCAGCCGATATGAGATCCGTACCACTGATTTGCCTTATGTGGCAAAATCGTTCGCCCCCGTGTTCAACCGCTCAAACCCTGTACGCCGGCTTGAATTCGAGGGCCAATCGGTTCGCGCCAAATTCCCAAAATTGGCAGAATAGACGAACGCGGTTTCATGCCCGTGCACGTGGCCTTCACACGCAGCTGACTGACCACGTGCTCCCTGGCAAGCTGACGCGCACTGTAGCCACCGCGCAGGGTTGCCGCTTTGTGCGCGGATATTGACTCCACTTGGGTCTCTAGTAGCCACACTCAGTTCAACCAACTTGAAGACCAGGAGACTGATTTTGTCGGACCCACCCTAACTACTGATCAAGCTAGTAGGAGTAGCTTTGGTGAAAGAAGTACCACCAGCACAGCTCAATGGATCGTAAAGTTATGCGAACCATCGCGTCACGTTAAGGTACAGTCTCATCGCAGAGTAGAGTAAGAGAAAAAATAGAAAGAGCCTCGATGTCAGAATAATTACACTTCAGGTGTAATGGGTCACAGACCAGCTCCTTGCGGTAAGGCTTTTGAATCAAAGGCTTTGGTTGAGAACCCTAATCGTTCTCCTGTCTAAGCCTGGACAACCTGACAGTATCTTGCCCATGCAATACAATCAATCTTTAATCAAACAATTTCTTGATGCACTGGCCACCGCAGAGGATAAGCAACGGTGCCCTATCCGCTGCATCAAGCAGAGTGGATAGGGGTTTGGATGCTACTGCTCAACCTTCCCGTCTTCGTATTCCTCCTCTTACGCTTTTTCACTCTTACCGTCCCTTTCCAACTTCACTTTTATCCCCCCCCCCAGTTTTCAACCCCCCGATTCTTGACCCTCCCCCAACATGCTTTGCTAGGCATCTATCTTCTAATTTCAACTCACATGCTAACGCGAAGCGTCACTCCTCTCCTGTCAACAATCCCATGTCCAACCAAACGGTCCATTACAGTTCATCGGCTTCCATTTGCAGCCCTCGATCCTCCTTCACATTGACATGCCTAAATGTACGCAAGTTACTACAGATCGGTCAACAAACAGCACTTGCCCGAACATTGGAGACCCACTCGATCGATATCTGCTGCTTATCAGAGACCCGCCTGCAAGACTCGAGCTCTGTGCTCACTCTGCGATCCCCTACAGGTGACGCAAGCAGTGTTTTCTCATTGCACCTATCCGGTGACGATGCAGCTTCGAGCACCGATCAAGCTGGTGTTCACATTGCCCTGAGTCCCAGGGCTGAAACTGCTCTGGTTGATTGGGTTCCAATCAGTAGCCGGATGTGTGGGGTCCGATTGACTGCCTCGTTCAAAGCTTCGAAGTCGCGCGGGACTAATGGGTGTCTATTCATCATCGCTGCCTACGCGCGATGACTCGATAAAGAACGACGTCTATCGCCAACTGGCCCAGCTCCTTCGCCACAGAAGAAGCACGGACACTGTTGTGCTGGCTGGGGATCTGGACACACAAGTTGGAAGTTGTCCACTGATGAAATGCATTTGGGCGGTAAGCGCGGTGTAGGCTCCCGTTTGCCAAGGTGGAGGGGTTACTTCATTTGTGTGAGGATGCTCGCTTATTTCTTGCGAGCACTAACTTCCGACACAGCACCCGCCGGAGGGTGACTTGGCGCCCACCAGTCTCGAACCAGCCTTGGACGCAGATCGATCACATTGCGATAAGTTACCGATAGAGAGGCTGTGTCCAGAACTGTCGCTCGATTTGGAGCACATGTGTGGACACCGATCATGCACTTGTATGTGCTGACATGCGGATGCGTTTTGGCGGACGTCCACGACGACGATGTGAGCGCATTGACACCAGCCAACCGACAAAGCCAGTTGGTCAGAATGCGTATCGAAGTACGCTGACATGCGAGTTGAGTAAGCGCTCACTGGAGACAACTGATGGTCACTGGTCACATGTTCACCAGACCTTACTAGCAGCAGGCAAATCCTCATGTGGTATGTCTAATAGTCAACATGGATATTGGGTCTCTTCGCAGTCTCTAGAACTTATCGACGCTCGCCGGCATATCCCGGCTGGAAGCGAACACAATGAAACTCGCAAAGAGCTCCGGGCAAGACTCCGTGCTAGCCTGAAGAGAGACCGCGAATCTTGGTGGCCTCATCGTGCGTCAGAGATGGAAGTGGCCACTGCCCTTGGCCACCATCGCAAGTTATTCCGTCTGATATGGGAAACGGGCAGCAGGAGACCTGGCGTTAGTGAAACTATACGGACGAGAGTGGACAGCCTATCCACAATTTGTCAAAACGCTTGGAGCGCTGGGCTGAGCATTTTGAAAAGCAATTTAATCGGCTAAAATGCTTCGATTCGTCGCCAGCCAGTGATCGCCCTCCTCCCTGGGCTGTCCCTTTGGATGCACCCTTTCGCTCAGAAGTCCAATGTGAGATTGGACTGTTGAAGTTGAACAAAGCCGCAGGACAAGATGATCTTCCTCCAGCCCTCTTCAAATTCGAGCCGCTACTCCTGTTGATGATTTACATGAGTTACTAGTGAAACTGTGGGATCAGGAGACTGTCACAACCGACTGGAGCCGCTCCGTTATTGTTCCCATCTTCAAAAGAAGGCTCGGGTTCGGAATGCGGCAACCATAGAGGAATCAGTCGGATCTCCATCGCCTCCAAATTACGCACCTCCATAATTCTTCACAGACTTACTGGCGTTAGTGAAAGCCAGATTCGTGAGGAGCAAGCCGGGTTTCGTCGAGGCCGTGGCTGCATCGACCATATCTTCAGCTTGCGTCAATTGTTGGAGCACCGTCACACATATTGGGGGCCAACGTAGTCGTGTACCTCGACATCAAAGGTGCCTTCGACTCGGTTGATCGATGTGCCCTTTGGAATTGTCTACTCAGGGAAGGTGTGTCCGAGAAATATGTTAATATTATCCAAGCATTATACGCGCCTAGCTCAAGCAGAATGAGGGCTTACGGCAAGCTGTCGCCACCCTTCAATATCTCCAGCGGTGTGAGACAAGGATGTCCGCTGACACCTTTTCTCTTCACCTTCGCTATTGACGAAGTCATGGAGATTGCATTTACAAGACATGACTTGGAAGGTGTGGAGCTACTCCCAGGAGAACGACTTCTCGAGTTGGAGAATGCAGACGACATTGCCCTCATCTGTGACAGCTCCCAGACGTGCCAAGCCGCCCTGGACAGATTAGCACTGGCTGTCAGCCGCTTCGGGCTGTGCTTTGCACCATCGAAATGCAAAACGTTCCTCCAAGATTGGCACGGATCGCCTCCTGCGCTGACCCTTAGTGGGGAGCAGCTAGAAGTCGCTCAAAAATTCAACTACCTGGGAAGTTGTATCAACGCCCTTGGGATCGAAGACGAGATCACGAACCATGTAACAAAAGCTCGAGAGGCTTTTGCCAACCTTCGCCACTTATGGCGGCGGCGGCGGCGCGACATTACTCTCGCCCTGAAGGGTAGAGTGTACAATGCAGCGGTACGTTCGACCCTACTGTACGGTTGCGAAACCTGGTCCCTAAGATCGGCAGACATAAAGAGGCTAGTTACGTTCGACCATCGGTGCCTTCGCAGTTTGGCTCACATCTGGTGGGAACACCGCGTGAGCAACGAGCGTGTTCGACGCCTTGTTTACGGCACAGATAAAGGAACTGAACCGCTCAGCACCGTCATTTCACGCACCAGGCTCCGATGGCTGGGCCACGTGTTGCGCATGCCAGCCCACCGACTTCCACGACGTGCGTTGTTTGCTCACCGTGGATGTGGATGGAAGAAGAGGAGAGGTGGCCAAGCGATGACTTGGTCCAGTGGAATGAAGGCCCTCACTTCTGTGCTGGCATCGGTTGGAGCGTCACGGCTCCCTGGTTGAGGTCCAAAAGACGGTGAACACGTTTGGCTGGATACATTTGCTGACATGGCAAGGAGCCGACCTCTTTGACGTTCCTGCTGTGAGTTTCTTTGTCCTGCCCCATCCCTTTTGGCCTCCACCTCCACCTACGATCTCATTTGGTAGCGTAAAACATAGTAATTTTTCTTTTTGCCTATTAGCCGGCTGGTAGCTTACCGGAACGATGCGTATCCGTTGCTGGTAGCTCAGATGGCATGCAACTGTTGTATTTATTTTCCGTTTCCTTTATATATTGCGGCACAGCAGCTGTGTTTCCCACCTCTAGCTGACGTATACAATGATGAATGATGAATGGGCCACAGTGCAACCAAGGCTTCGCCCGTATGGCTATAAATACAGTATAATCACTACAAAATAGGCAGAGATGATGAAGTTATAATCGTTACACACAACATAAGACTGTATATCAAAGATGAAAGTTTTGATATCAAACGAGACATGTGGGATCAAGTACCTTCTTCTCGATCCGCGTGGAGTAGGTGCACAAACTCCGAAGTCAGTCGGTCGATATGCTCGCGGAGGAGATAGTGCTCGCAAGAACGGACTAATTTGGGCAGAGTGCTAGCATGCAAATATGCTTGCACACGGGCTCGCTCTTCGTTCAGACGCATTTCAACCTGGAAGGAGAACGTCAAATGTCCGGATTAAAATGCGATGGTGTCCAGCTTACAGAAGAATGGTGACGACATAAGGTACAAAAAATTGTCATCTGAAGAAGACAAACATTTCATACTCAAAGTAGCTTAATCGCAAGTAAAACAGAAAAATTATGATGGAAATTGAGTCAGACATGTGAACTTGTCAGGAGCACAATACGTATGTTGTTCACACAGAGTGACAATGCAAGGCATGAAATAAAGTTGTGCGAGATGGGATAAAGGGGTCAGAGAAAAGGACATTGCAGGAAAACGTTTAGCAGCAAACATGGGATGCTCATCGATGAATCAGTCGTGAAATGTGATATGTACAAGTATGGTGAACTGCGCAGCCATAAAAAATGGTGGTAAGTAGCTAAAAACATCTGTACAAATGAACAAATACCATGGAGATTAGCAAGATGAGCGAGAATGAATGCAAGAGCACCAAAGGCTTAACAAATTCGGATAGTGAGCCTATTCATTGATGCGCCCATTATCCGTGAAGGCGACACTCTAGAACCAGACTGAGCCACCCGTCACCCATACTATATCTTAAGGCCATGTTATCAGCTGGTCAAGGAAAATTTGAAAATACAGGTGGAGTATTGGCAGACAACGTAGACCGTAGCAAACAGATGAAACAGGCGATAATCTCGATCCGGCAATAGTAGAAGTTCCCATTGTTTTAACATGCGGTCCGGTGCAAAGTGGGAGGATCTACCGTCAAACAACAGCTGACTGAAATTCACAATGCTCACTACATTTTTATGGAGTATACGATGGATACTGAGGAGGCACCATTGACCAAATATGGTCGGACTCTTGATGTCGGCAGTGTGCAATGGCGAAATCTCGGATCCACACGAGACTAATGGTCGCACTGAGGTGTCATCATCATCATCATTATACACCCTAGCTAGAGGTGAAGAAGACCTCAGCTACTGTGCATTACTACATAAGAAAAACATACATAGAATTGGTGCACACCAGTTGAGCTACCAGTGACGGATGGGCATCGTTGCGGAAAGCTACAGGCCAGCTGCTATGAAGCACTGAGGTGTGCTTTCGGTCTTAACGGATAAACTGAGATCACATTATTACCATGGACAGTGGGGGCGCTGAGGATCTATACGGGCCGTATTCAGGTGCGCGGTAACCCATTCGGTGAGTTCACCAACTCAGGTGATGCGAAAGAGTAGACGATGGAGGTGCCTGGTGAAGATGGGGACCAGTAGCCTCAGAGGCAGGAAATGTAGTAGTAAGCAGTAATTTAAAGGTGCGACAGCCTAGTTGGAAGGTGCAGACCTACGTGAAAACCCAGCAAAAATGCTTGCGAGAGGACTGTGGTCGGTCTCAACAAAAGCACTTCGTTCGTGTGGCCTTAGAATGTCCGTCAGTCAACTTGCGGAATCACTGCTTCAGAAAGATGAAAGTCATCAACAGTACAACGGCACACCGTAGTGACTCTTCGATGACACGTAACCACCATCGGTCGCGGGGAACCTGAGTACACCGCGAGGTCGCAAACCCCTAGGTGGATTCGAGCAGGTGACCTCCGGATTACAAGACAGACATCTTATTTATTATTGGGTCCAGGAGTAGCTGTCTGGATTGCGACGCGCAATCTTGATTGTGGCTACAGTTTGCTTTGAAGCAAGCCTATGCTATTTTGATCACTGGGACCGCATCCGAAGTGGCAAATTGCAGAGGTGCTTTCTCCCAACACCGAACTCAACTGTCGACCGGTTTCGTCTTGATGTGGACTCCTAAGACAGATATATCTTGAGCTGAGAGGGGAACACGACACAGTGATTGACGGCTTTCGTCTTGGTCACTAGGCCAGAGCTTCACAGCAGCAGTTGGACCTCGAAGTCGCTTACGAGGCACTACGAACCAGGCCCCTGAAGCCGCACTGATGATGTTGACTTGTCTGACGTCTGCAAAATAATCACGCAGCTAGGGGAACAGCTCAAAATCTGCATAAACTAGCTTAACAACGCCTTCACGAGGCACTGCAAGGGGATGCGCTATGATGAAGTCCGAGATAAAGCTGAAAAATGGGGAAATTGCACAATATTGACGAACGTTACTTGTCGGAAAAATATCTGACATGTCACTGTAGACCCTGATGAAGCCTTTGGTGTTCGAGTGCAGGGTACGTAAAACATTCAGATATTTCATGGGAACACCATACCGTGCAAGCGTCTCGGACAAAATGGATCGACCGACTAAGTCGAACGCACAAAGCTATTACATTGTGCGACAAAAAAGAATTTGTTTTCTATAGCAGAAATGCCAACGTCCATACCTTATAGAATACACTCCATTGATTGTATTCCAATGTTACCTAACTTTGTCATTAGCAAAGGAACATTTGCAGTAATGTTAAGGCTACGTCGTGTGAAGTATATGTAAATGTACTGAATCACAACCCATACAGAATGCATCTATGTGGCAAATACGTCTAAAACATAACTGCAACACCCGCCTCTATCTACTGACTGCAGCTTGGTACTGGGAAGTGATGACTTCGGCGAGATCGTCACTTGTATGATCCAGCGCCTTCGCGCTGCAGAAACCAGCAAGCCACTGTAGCATTGCTCCAAAACTGAAATGTCTTGCTGAAAGCGCTCACCATGCTCATCGCTAACAGATCCCAAGTTCTCAGGGAAAAAGTCAAGGTGAGTATGCAAAAGTGCACCTCGAGTGAGATATGAGCAACAACAGCCCGATACACCACAATGAGCTTTTTGCGATGTCTTTGTAGTTCTCTGCCTTTGTTCTGCCCAAAAATCCTGTACACACCGCCTTGAGTGATCGCCACGCTTCTATCTCAAGTGAAATCAACTGGCATTCGAAAGCATTGTCTGCCATTATCCGGCGAATATCAGGCCCAATAAGTATCCCTTCTTAAAGCTTCGCATCACTGATCTGCGGGAACAGTTGTTTCAGGTCCTGAAACGAAACATCATCTCGCTTGAGGATTTAGATGAAGTTTTACTCAAACCAAGCATGACGTGCAGGGGTGGTAGATAGATATGGTCAGGTTGCACAAGAGGTGCATGCTTTATACTCACTTTCCCTGCAGCATACTCAGTCCTCTCTGGCCACTTTTCGGTTGTGTAGTGCTGTTGAGTTGCTCTACTGTCCCATAAGCACAAGAAACAGCAATATTTTGTGAGACCTCCTTGCATACTCATTAAGGAGCCAATGACCTTGAAGTCAGCGCAGATGTTACAACAGTGCTTAGCGTAGTTCAGTGCAACGAGTATCTGTTGTGTACTTTCGCAAGTCTCCTTCATATGGGTGCATGCAACAGAGGCACAGTTAGGTACACATTTGCGTTATGGAGCAGTATGGTCTTAAAACTACTCTTGGACGAGTCCATGAGCAAACGCCATTCATCACTGATGTGCTTCATGCCAAGCTCCTTCATCAGTACATCCACGTCGGAACAGTAACAAAAGGATTCTCTGTCAGGGAAACCGACAATGTAACACCGCTTTCTGTATACCGTAACCTTAGTGTTCGCAGCAAGTAAGCGTCACTGCTGCAGTCGAGATGCCATCAACTAGGCCTTATCTTTAGACAAGCTTAAGTCACATACCAAGTCATTCAGCTCTGAGTGTTCCATAGAATGTGGGTTGACAACAGCTTCAAAGTTTTCACAGATGTCAGAATCAGGAGAAGTTGACAGTGTTATGTTCACTAGAGGCACCAGAATGGGTAAGGTGAAATCATGAAGAACAGGTCGAATAGTTGATGGAAGATCGGGGTAATGAATTCTGTCCTTGTTTGGGTTGGAGATTCCAATGATACTGGCTAGGCAGAAGTAGCAGACTGTCGTGTGATCCCTCGTCTGTCTCTACACCATGGGGATTGCAAAGGGCATGTTGATTTGCCCTTGAGCCACTGAGTTAGGTGAGGATTGCACGACACACAAACAAGGTGCGGTGCCCACTTGTTATCCTGATCTCCTAGTTTCATCCCGAAATATGCGTGGTAGGCAGACTCCAGTAGTGAAGAAATGGGTCTGTATGGAGAATTTGTAGTAAACTGTCCACAGACGTAACAAAAATGATATCAGTAATTGACACCGCAGCGTCTTTCAGCCATAAACAAAATATCAATTAAGGAAACACAGCTCTCCATTGACTTTCAGCATCAGGTGGATACCATGGCTAAGAGGATTTCTTTTCCAGGATTACAAAGAGTAAATGGACCAATCACAGGGGAGCATTTAATGCATAGAACGCACCGCTTAGCTGAAATTAAAAAAACCAGACTTGATGGAAACATTTGGTTTGCATATTAGTAATCTGTTCACTTGATACTACTGGAAACATACTATATCATTTCTGTTATAAGGATGAAGTTGCACGGTGTTATCGGCATGCGGAACGTGTGGCGCAGCTCTGGCACTTGCCGCAGAGTGAATATATAGTCAATACAGCCCCCTCATGGGCGAAAACCTGTCTGCTATTCCCTAATCCGGGATTCCAATTCCGCGGTGAAGCGACGAAGGAAAATTTAGACAAGTAATTTCGCCACCACCGGCGTTATGCTGGTATCTCTGTGCTTAGCAGTCAGTGAAACTGTGCTTTTTGTACAGTCACTGCGACTGATTCACTCTAATTAGCTGAGATGGTCTCTTCCTTCCAGACGTGTTCGAATTGGGAGGACATCATCATCATCATCATCAACAGCAGTACATCAGCCATTTGAACTGATGCTTCGCTGCCATACAACCATGAGGACCTATGAAATAAAGAATAAGAAGAGGGAGAGAAGAGGGACTTACCTGAAAACCTTAATGCCCTAAGCAAACATTCAGGGTCAAGGCGCCTACACCTTGTGTAGACAACATACCGTCACAAACAGCTGGCTATCGTGCAAAGATAAGGCGGCATCGGCGAGACAGCTTCCTTGCGGCTTTCACTGCCACGCGTCATAATCAGCCATTACCCCGCAGATAACTCAGCACCAAACACACTTTAAACAGACAATCCGATTAGGAGACGGCAGCAGACGCGCCACTGGTGTCTACTGCGAGCCATGTCCTGCAAAGTCTCGAGCCAAGCACAAGGTGAGTCACGTGGACTCCAACCCGGAAGGCGAGACGGGCCAACGGCACCCAGTTTGGTCGTCAGTGACTTCATTTCCCGCTGCCAAGTCAACTTCTGTCCACCTCGAGCCTTGTGCCATCCTACACCTGGCAGACTAAACAAGGCCCTCCTAGGTAAGCGGTGAACAGGCATGCGTAGCACGTGCCCGAGCCAACGTAACTTATTCAGTGCTATCTGTTGTTCTAGGGAGCTAGCATGATCATCACCACCTAGTACTCGCCTACGCACATCATCGTTGCGGACACGCTGCTGCCATCCGACACCAGCAATGCTTCGCAAACAACGATGATCAAAGACTTGAAGGCGCCTCAGATCTTCAGACCGAAGGGGCCAAGTCTCACTACCATACAGCAGAATGGCCCTCACTGTGGCCTTGTATACACGGCCTTTCAGACGGAGGGAAACTCCCTTCTGTCGCCAAAGATGACGCAGGTTCAAGAAGGCAGCTCTAGCCTTTGCAATGCGTGAGCTCACGTCAGTTTCTATGCGCCCATCATTGCTGATGCAGCTGCCAAGATAAGTGAAATGATCAACCACCTCGAGTTCCTCGTTAGCAAGCGTCAAGGGGTCATCGAGTGGCTGGTGGTCCTGCAGCAACACTTTGCACTTTGAAGGTGCGAAGTGCATACCAAATAATGGAACCACTCTGGACAGGCTATTCAGGGTTGATTGTGCCGCCTCAACATTGTCGAAAAGCAAGACGATATCGTCCGCATAATCTAGATCAACTAACCGTTCACCAGGCAGCACTTCAACACCTACATCGTGAGGTTCCGCAAGGGAACACTCCATGATAGAATCCACGACGAAATTGAACAAAAATGGGGAAATCGGGCAACCCTGTCGAACGCCACTTGTAGTCGAAAAGCTATCCGATAGGGCACCATAGACCCTGACGCGGCCCCTAGTGTTCGAGTATAGAGCACGAAGGATGTTCACATATTTCGTGGGAACACCTTTCCGCGCAAGTATTTCGAACAGAATCGATCGATCGACTGAATCGAACGCACTCTTGAAATCGAGGAACACAGCTATTGTCGGTCTGCGGTATGCGTGGCGCTGCTCTAGCACCTGCCGCAAAGTAAATATATGGTCTATACAGCCACGTCCTGGGCGAAAACCGGCCTGCTCTTCTCTAATCCGAGATTCCCGTTCTGCAGTGAGGCGACGAACGATAATTGGGAGGACAGTGCTTTGCAGAAGTCACCACCATCTTTAAATAGTGTAGGCACCGACAGATATCACTATAGAAACCGAACAAACAGTTCTTTTTGAGATCTAAGATTGGGAGACATTCCAAAGGTTGGTGCACGGTCTGGAGACTCGCGGTGAAAAGATTTCGTTATGGAAAAAGTAGTGTCATAAAGGAGTGTGATTAAATGAATCGAAGCTAGTCTTTGGGTCAAGAAAGCCGACCATGATAGAACCCCTGTAGCTTGGTTCTGCTGCTACAAGTGACGAAGTGGAAACATGATCAACGTAGCACCTAATGAGTAGGATGGTTGGCTCGTAGTGAATGGACTTTAACGAAGATAAATATTGTCTGTAAACGACTAGAAGAAAGTGGAGACAACGCTACTACCCCGACTTTCGTACGACGTCCTTTGTCCCTTTACAAGGATAGATGACTGTTGGTAACTGCCAGTTCACCCTTCAATTACGGCACATTGGCTGAAGTGTGATTCTCAACATCAGCTAATGTGCAGTGATGGTGATGATGAGGATCATGCTGTTTTAAGGGAACCATGAAGAGAATTATATGGATTGGAATAGACCGTCCAGTCAAAGAACCTGCTAGTCGCTACGGTTTTCAAGCAGAGACGAAAAGAAAAGGTAGGTTTTTGCATAGAAAATCGAGTTAGGTGCACCAAATTACTCATAATATTTGGGTAATTCAAGGGATTAATGAATAAGTATTATTGAATGTAACGCCAGAATTGATTTTCTTAAAACAGTTACTGGTGTAGGCCAAAGGTAGTAAAATTTGCTCAAAATAAGTGGGTGACGAGTAGAATGACAAAATCCATGAAACAAAAATAGTGCAAGATTTCTTGCAATGGAAGCGAAGAAAAGCGAATATTGACATATTGTTGATACACTTGCCTTCTTCAGGTACTCCGGAACAGAATTGGATTGCAGAAATTGAATACTTTCCATACGGTAATATCGCTCCGTTTCCAAGAGAAAATTACGCTCAAAGTATTCTTGATAAACGGACAGTCGGCCGTCTGCCAGCACCGCGGGAGAATGTTGGGATGTAACCTCGGGGGAAGAAGCAGAGGGACCGACTAATGTTGTGCCGTGTAGTGGAACTCGGGAGGATCCATTGTCGCGTGTATTTGTATTGGGTGCAGGCGCAACCTGAGTAAAGTTTTGCATTGGCATTAAGAAACGGATGAAAGTTTAAGAAAGACAGCGTATTGAGGCCTGGTGAGACTAAACGTATGTTAGCTCACCCATTCTGCACTTCCAGGAACCCCAACAGAAGATGATCCCGGTGGAGATCGAGAGGAACTGGCGTTCATCAGCCCGGGCAGATGTTCAGTGGACCCCTGCATAACCGAACTGGAAGGAGTATGGAGCTGGTTTTCAGCCGTAATACCCAGGTC